ATATATAACTGTTTATACCTTAGAAGTATAGTTTAGCCGTAAAAGGGGTGTAAAGGAAACATGATTGCCTATTTATATATATGATCTACCTACATATGTACAATATTTATACATATGTACATTTTACAACTATAGGTGTATTCTTTTGCAACCGAGCTACAAAAGAACGCTCGCTTAAATTACGAAATACACGCAAGAAATAACACAAACTCGGCTATTTATCCGAATTCAGCCAGCAGCCGGATTCCAGCTTTCGCTATCGCTAAAACTCCATCGCCAAAAAATACTAAATGGATTTTAGCAATTTTGGGAGATTTTTGCGATTCGCGCTTAAAAAAGCATCTCTAAAAAGTTTCATTTTTGGATCATTTTTTTTGGTGGGTTTTAGCGATGAACAAAATGAACCCGGATAAAGTGAGTGAACAGTTTTTGACAGCTCATCAGCTAAAATGGCGATTCCAGCGTATTTTCCATTGCTACAAATCTCCATTGTTGGCTTAAAATTCTGCGAATTTGGCGACTAGAAAAGGTTGGTGCTAAAAAAATAACGCGACAAAAAAGGTGCTTAATTGTTTTGTAAACCTTATATTAAAGAAATTGTTTAATTAATAGCAAAATATGGCAAAACCGCAATAGCAAAAGAGTGACGAAGGATCAAAAATATATGCTCGTTCAATATTTGGAGGATCATAGAGAATTTGCTCACGACAGGTATGCAAAACATTTTCCCGTAAATGATTTTGTTTAAGTTTTTTCTTTTTTAAGATTCGTCAATGGCACCGGGAGGCAAAAGATTTAGCTGAGCAGTGGAACCACCTCGCCGAAAAATTAAATGCTTGCAGAGGATCTCATAAAAGAGGTGAAGGATGGAAGAGAGCGTGGGTAAATATGAGGTAAATATGTTTTGAAAATATACATAAGTAGCACTAAGATTCTTAAAATTGTTTTCGATTAATGATAGGAGCACAGGCCAAACAAAAATCCCAAGATTTGAGAAATGCTATGGAGCGAAGCGGGGTAAATTCATCAATTAAACGAAAAGCATCTCAGTAACCTCGACGAGCGCATCATTGGCGTGATGACCACAGTGGCAGAGGTCGGTCAAAGAGAAGTTATCGAGCCACTGGTGAGTTAAGAACATTTCCATTTATAAATTATTTTATCATAGATTCGAATTCGATCAAAATGTTTTTGTAGTTTGAACATACTTACTATATAGTATATATCTATAATTTATATAATAACTTTTTAATTACAGAGAAGTTCCGCGCAGTAACTAGCGTGGAATTATTTGCGCCTCTGTGGACCACTTTGAGATAGAGGTATGTACATACGCCTTATGATTGTCTTCCGTTTTTTATTTAACTTTTTATTACAGTTTCTTGAAGGAGGCGATGAGGAACCGCAAATGGCACCGGATATGAGTTCCTCAGGATCCACTTCCACCACAACGTCGGGCTCCCAAACGCAAAAATTACTCTTTAAAGAGAGCAACGCCAAAATGATACAATTAGAAGAACGCAGAGTCGTCTTGGCGGAAAGAAAAATTGCGCGCTGGAGAAAAGAAACTCTATGAAGAGAGAAAGGCCGACGTATTGTCCAAATCTTAAATAAATTGGATTTACTTCTACAAAGGTGATTGGTCTCGGAGTGATCGTAGAAATATAGATATTTGAGCTTTACGGTATGTTGCCAATGAATTATGAACGGTACTCAGACGTTTATATTTTGACGTTAACTGATTTTTTGAACTTTAATATTTCTTTTATAAAAATATAGTAAATTCAATAACATATACCACATCTATCGTTGCTTTAAACTTTGTGCGAAAGTCGCGAAAAATCAACAAATTACGAAAACTGTGATCAAAATTTAAAAGCTTTTATCAGAATTTTTAGAAAATGTTTACGTACGCAGATATATAGCCTTCAATTTCAGTTCCATGCAAGTTGTGGTCGAAACGTTATTTTCGAATCTTTGGTTTAAGGTGTAATGCATTTTCTTCAACATAAAAAAATGCCGACATACTTTACGTGAGAAGAAAATGCAGAAACCTTCAACCAAAAAAAATTTCAAATAATTAACCGCGAATTTTTACCGACTTTCAAACTTGCACTTTATGGTACTAAAATTTAAGGCTATATAAATGCGTAGTAAAAACATTTTTTAAAAATTCTGATAAGTTTTAAATTTTGATGAGTTTTTCGTAATTAGCCGATTTTCGGCGAATTCTCCACAAAGTTTGAAGCTACGATATATGTGGTCTATGTTATTGAATTTACTTATATTTATTTAAAAAAAAATATGAAAGTTCAAAAAATCAGTTAAACGTAAAAATGTAAACATCTGTGTACCGTTTGTAATTCAATGGTCATATACTATAGGTTTAGTTTTCCAAGCTGTAGAACAGCGCGTTGTTTTTTACTTATGTAAATAAATTTGGTATTTAAGCTTTAGGTTAAGTTTTCAAGCTGTGGAACAGAATTTTATTGTTTTTATCTATGATTAATTTAAATTAATAAGATATTTAACTGTAGGTTAAGTTTTCAAGCTGTAGAACAGCGTTTTATTGTTTTTACTTATTGCTAATGTAAATAAATTAGGTATTTAAGCTGTAGCGTAGGTGTACATGTTGTGAAACAGCGTTTTAATTTTTCATTTTTTATTAATGTAAATAAATTAGGTATTTAAGTTGTAGGTTAAGTATTTCAAGCTGTAGAACAGCGTCTTAATTTTATTGAATTTAATGAATTTTGGACTGAAATATGCATATATAGAAAATACTTAATATAAAGAAAATAAACGAATACGCAATTGTTTTTTAAATTTGAGTAAGCGTTAATTGAATTATTTAAAAAATAATAATAATAATAAATGCTTAAATTAAAGGATGTACCCTCGTGGTCAGCTAATTAAGTTAGTTGCATTTTGACCAGTTTTGCCTGTTTTTATATTGTTTATAATGTTTATTTTTTTATAAAAGTCTAGCGCATTATATAACAAGCATAGTATAAACCCACATTTCACACTTTGTACAAAATTTGTAAAAATTTTATATTGTTATTTTTGCTGACGGTGCTAGGTATTTTCTATCTACACTCTATCTTTTGACAGGCATCGAAATCTAGATTTCAGCACTCCAAAGCAGCGTTCTACACAGTTTCTTGCTTTCCGGTGATGTCTGTTGTAATTATGTTCAGAATCTGAGAGATTGTTTCCCGGAATAGGAGTCATTAAATAAGGTAATTGAGGATATCCACTGTCACCTAAACATGTGAAAAGGAAAATTATGCTACATAAATAATATACATATGCATGTTACAAATTGAGTAAAATATACCTAAAAGCCAAAAATTTCGTTCTCCATTGGAGTACATATTGTCAAGAAAAACATTCAAAGCACTTGCTCTCCAAACTGATGCATCGTGAGCAGTTCCGCCGAAATGAGCATCACAGTCAAGTATTCTTAAATCCATGTCACATACCTTCAAGTGATGAAATAATGTATGTACATACAATGTTACGTATATGTATATACATTTGTAAATATGTAAATGAATAGAACATACCACTTGCACATTTATTGAGTGTCCTCCTTTTCGGCAAACATATACATGTTCAATGTCTTTGGATGGAGTCTTTAATTTAATATGCGATCCGTCAATGGCTCCTATGACCCCAGGGAATCTGAACTCTTGATAAAATCTAAAATAAAGAATCATAAACTTATCTTAAGTAATATTACTTTTAATTTAGTATAAGTACTTTTCCTTTACAGCCTGTTTTTCTTCAACTGTTGATGGAAACTTAATGTATCTAGTTAACAAG